TGCAAGCACTAACTGAAGCCATGCTGGAGGCAGGAGCAGGACTCCAGGGCACACTGGGGTGTTCATTTTCCCTTCTTTGTCTCACCGCACACACAGAGCACTCGCAGTACACCAGACCCAGCAAACAAAAAGACAACACCCAACATTTCTGGAGTTGTGAGTAACTTCAAGAACACGCCAGGAACATCACTGCTCATTAATGTTATTGTGACTCTGCACTGATGGTCCTCGTGAAAGCAACCATTTCAGAGCCAACAGTTTTTAAAGGATCAATTACATCACAGTATGGCTTTGTTGGAAAGGGTTTGGAAAACAAATTTTAGGTACTTAGCACTACATTTTCACTTTTCTCCTTAACAGTAGGACAGAGTCTGGAAGGAATAAAATATATTTTTTACTGCAATAAAGTGATCTTTCTGGCAAGATGAGTATCTTCCACAGCCCCACAGTTCTGGCTGCCTCTCTGCACTGACCAACAACTTGCCACACAAATGAGACCAGATTATTGATATCCTGGAATGCCAGACAGAAATGCAAACTGTGCTGATCCTCAGTCCTATGAGACACCTATGAACCATGGAATAAAATATAAGTATGGTTAACTTAATCTCAAGTCTATAAATGTAGTTTATATCTCTTAACTAACCCCATGACTACCTAATACAATTTAAAACATTATTCCATCAACAAGTTGCCAAACAAGCTAAAGTGTGAGCATGGCACCTTTTAGCCTCTTATAATAAAAATATCCAGTTAAGTGGATATTAAAAAGCAGCATTTTAATACACTTCTAATTTCCACCTATTCCCACAGCACTGTAGAAAGAGTCATTTCGCTCAGATCCTGCTTTCCCATCAGCTCTTTCTAAAACTGGGACTCCTTCAAGACAGTTTCATGCTCAAGTGCACTTTCAGAACTGGGAACAACTTAACAAAGAAAAAGTCCTCGATTCCTTGATAAAATGCTCCTGTCTCTCTAAGCAGCTTTAGAGAGTAAGTCAAGGAACAGGAAAATCTTGCCTGGGTCAGGAGTAAAATCTTTGTCTTGCTATAGCTGCAAGTAACATAAGAGTCATTGCAATTACACTGTGACAGACAGGCTTTTGTGTACCTCTGATATCAGAATCATGGACAAAAAGGTAAAGTGTGGGGCAATTCACAGCTTAATTTTAAACAAAAGCAGGCCAAGGGAAAGTTTCCTTTTACCAAACACAGCCCCCTTGTCACAGAGGGGCTGAAGTGACAGAGTTTTCTCTGGTCCAACTGCTTTCACACTTGTCTCGTGTTTAAAAGTCTTGAGGCAGGTGGTTGTTTTTTAAGTAAACATGATGCATGACCCAATTACAGTCAGAGCTTTTCCTGAAAAATCAAACAAAATCCAAGAGCCAAAGGTTTGGGGTATTTTGCTGGTATCAAGAATCTGCCTTTTCTCAGAGACGAAACTTTGGTGAAGGTGAACTGATCTCATTCTGTCATTCTCATGTCCCTGTGGTAGTGATAACACAGAAAGCCAAAGATTTGCCATGCTGTTATGCCCTTTGCTCGTTCAAACCAGAAGCCCTCAGATGAACAACAAGGAATTCAACAGAGCCCCAAATGTTCCCCACTGTTCCCAGTGATGCCGCTCTTCCATCCAGGAACACCACCAAGACACCCAACTGGAAGCCATAGGTGCTAAGCACAATTTACACTGACAGGTTTATAGCCTGTAAAGATTCTGGTAGCTTTTAAATCAATTAAGTCCATTTGGTAAACATTTTTACAATGAAACTAGTCAGGCCAAAATAAGTTTAGATCGTTGCATTGCCTAAACTCTGGGCCCTTGATGCTTTAGCTGGTGTTTGGGGTCAGTGGTTTGATGTGAGTGGGTTTCCACAGTATCTGCTAGAAACATTCAAGGTTTATAGCTTTGTCTTTCCTGCCTCTCTCTGGTGCCACATTACCGGAACATTTTGACCCAAAGGCAATTTCTTGCATTAACAACAATACCAGACTATGAAAAACTCAAGTTCTATAGGTAAACATGGCTATGAGAGTGAATAAGGAATATATATGCATCCGATCACTCCTCAAGTTGATAAAAAATACGTTACAAGTTATGCATCTCTTCAAACAGGAGGAAAATGGGACCCAGACCTCGTTCACCACTGTGCCCTGTCTGGGCTGTTAATGGGGTCTGTTTGCACCACCCCGACTGTGCCACCATATTCAGACCTCGGGCACAGCTGGTGCCACTGTCACCTGTGGCACTCTGGTGGAGGAGCCCTGCTCGTAGCTGCACTCAACAACACAGGTCCTACTCCACAGCCAAGAAGAGACTAAAATCACTGCTTTGGAAAGCTCGGCCATCTGAACCAGTCTAACACTTACTCATCTCTATCACAGAAGACTTAAAAAACACATACCAATATCATAAAGTCACCACATCTACAGAGATGAGGAAGCCTGAGTGAACAGAAAGATGATTGTCTTCTAAGCACGTTAGTTTTGTTAATTTAGTGGAACCACTCAGTCACTTGTCAGACTGGATTCTGTTATCCTATCACTTTTGCTCACGTTAAAGGGGAACCAGAGGTACATTAGTTATCAAGTTAGAAACAAACTTGGAACTCAGGCTCGGCTGGAATCCTTTTCCCGACAGACAAACGGAGCAGGGTCGCACCTGCCCGCTCCGCCTGAAGCCCTTTTCCTGACAGGCAAAGCCGAACGCGGCTCCCGCAGAGGGCCGAGCCCGGAGCTCC